TGTATCCCGCTTTTCGCAAAATTCAGTTAGGTCAAGTAGTTATTAGTGCAGTCTATAGGATTTCTATACACACTATCATGTCATCTGTGAACAATGACATTTTTGTTTCCTCTTTTCCACTTTAGATGCCTTTTATTTATTCTTCTTATCTGATATCTGTGGCTAGGACTTCCAATACTATGTTGAATAGAAGTGGTGAAAGCAGACATCCTTGTCTTGTTCCTGATCTTAGTGGGAAAGCTTTCAGTTTTTGCCCATTAAGTATGGTTGGTGTTACCTGTAGGTTTCTCATATATAGCCTTTACTATTTTGAGGAATGCTCCCTTTATTCCCACTTTGCTATTTTTATCATAGATGGGAGCTATACTTTATCACATGCTTTTTCCACATCTATCAATATGATCATGTAATCTTTGTCTTTCCTTTTGTTTATGTGATGTTGTTTCTTGATGTGCATATATAGTACTATCCTTACATCCTTGGGATGAATCCCACTTAATTATGGTGTATCTTTTTAATGTACTGCCAGATGTGTTTTGCCAATATTTTGTTCAGGATTTTAGCATCTCTGTTCATCATCAATATTGGCCTGTAGTTTTCTTTCTCTGTTATGTCTTCATCTGGTTTTGGGATTAGGATGATGCTGGATTCATAAAAAGTTTGGGAGTCTTCTATGTTCTTGGATTTTTTGGAATAGTCTGTGAAGGACAGGGGTTAGCCCTTCCTTAAATGCTTTGTAGAATTCTCCTGTGAGTCCATCTGGTCCAGGGCATCTGTGTGTCAGGAGTTTTTTCATTACTGCTTCAATTTTGTCAGCTGTTATTGGTCTGTTCAGGCTTTCTGGTTCTTCTTCATTCAGTTTTCGAAGATAGTATCTTTCTACAAATTTTTCCATTTCACCCTGGTTTTCAAATTTCTTGGTATATAAATGTTTGTAGAAATTTCTTACAGTCCTTTGTATTTCTGTGGTATCAATTGTAATCTCTCCTCTTTCATTCCTGATTTTTTTATTTTGGACCTTTTCTTTACATGTCTGCTTAAAGGTTTGCCAATTTTGTTTATCTTTTCAAAGAACGAGCTCCTGAATTTACTGGATTTTTTCTTTGAATTGATATTTTAGTCCCTATGCCATTTAATTCTTCTCTGATCTTGGTCATTTTCTTCCTTCTACTTGCTCTGGGCTTTGTTTGTTGTTCCTCCAGTTCTTGTAGATGTAGGGTTAGGTTGTTTATTTAAAATCTTTCTATCTTTTTTAGGTAGGCCTATATCGCTATGAACTTTCCTCTCAGTACTGCCTTTGCTGTGTCCCATATGTTTTTGGCTATTGGGTGTTCATTTTCATGTGTTTCCAGAAAATTCTGAGTTCTTCCTTGATCTAAATATTCACCCATTCATTGTTTAATAGCATGCTTTCAGTCACCATGTGTTTGAATATTTTGAATTTCTTTTTTCTTGAGTTTCATTTCTCGTTTCAGGCCCTTATTGTCCAAGAAAGTGTTTGATATGATTTCAATTTTCTTGAATTTGTTGAGGCTTGTTTTGTGTCCTGTTATGTGATTTATCTGAAACTGTTCCATGTGCATTTAAAAAAATGTGTAGTTTGCTTGTTTGGGATGGAAGTTTCTCTCTCTCTCTCTCTCTCTCTCTCTCTCTCTATATATATATATATATATATATATATATATACACACACACACACACACACACACACACACACACACACATATATATGTTAAGTCAATTTGATCTAGGGCATTGTCCAATGCTACAATATCCTTGTTGACATTTTGTGGTAAAAAGATCTATCCATTTTTGATAGTGGGGTTAAAATCCCCTATATAAGTGTGTTGCTGTCTATATCTTTCTGGAAGTCCTTCAACACTTTTCTTATATGTTTGGGCGTTTCTATGTTAGGTATATATATGTTTATAATGTTTAGGTCTACTTGATGTATTCTTCCTTTGAGTATTATGCAGTGTCCTTCTGTGTCTCTTTTTATGACCTTTGTTTTGAAGTCTATTTTGTCTGATATGAATATTGTTATATCAGCTTTTTTCCCTGTCCATTTGCTTGGAATATTTTTTCTAAACCTTCACTTTCAGTCTGTGTAGGTCTTTTGTTCTGGTCTGGGTCTCTTGTTGTTAGCATATATGTGGATCATGTTTTCTTATCCATTCACCTACCCTATGTCTTTTGATTGGAACATTTAACCCATTAACATTTAAACTTACTACTGATATGTACTTATTCATTTTCCCCACTTGTACTTGTGTTCCTCTCTCTCTGACTCTTTTTCTTCCTCTTCCTAAAGCAATCCCTTTAGCATGTCTTGCAGTACTGGTTTGGTGGTGTATTCTTTCAGTCAACTTTTGTCTGGGAAACTCCTGTTTTCAAAAGTTAAAACTTCCATTTTAATTGAGAGCCTCACTGGGTAGAGTAGTTTGGTTGCAGGCCTTTGCTTTTCATTATTTCATTATTTCTTGCCATTCCCTTTTGGACTGTAGTGTTTCTGCTGAGAAATCATGTGCTTTATTGGAGCTTCCTTGTATGTTAATTCTGGTTTCTCCTTTGCTGCTTTTAAGCATCTCTCTTTGTGGTTAAAACTTGGCATTTTGATTGTGGTATGTCTTGGAGTAGGCCTCTTTGGGTTCATTTTGATTTCGACCCTCTGTGCTTCCTGAACTTCCTTGGTTTTTCCCCACTCCAGGTTTGGGAAGTTTCTGTCACAGTTTTTTCAATGGGTTTCTAGCCCTTGCTCCTTTTCTTCTCCCTCTGGTTTTCTTATTATTCAAATGTTGTTGTATTTCATATTGTCTTGCAGTTCACTTAAATTATTTTCATAGTCTTTGAGTCTTTTTTTTGTGTTTCTGCTCTACCTGGGTATTTCTTTCTACTTTGTCTTCCAGCTCACTAATTCAGTCTCTGCTTCATCCAGTTTGCTTGTAATTCCTTCTAGTTGAAAAATTTTTGGTTCAACATCGTACACTTCATATCTTCCTGGTTCTTTTTATAGTTTCTATTTCCTTTTTCATACTGTTTAACTTCTCACTCAGCTCCTTGTAGTAATCTATGAGTCCCTTCAGCATCCTTATAACCATTCTTTTGAATTCTATATCTTATAGTTTGTTTGCCTACATTTCATTTAGCTCTTTTACTGAAGAGTCTTGCATTCCTTTTTTATTGTGGGTTGTTTGTCTCCCCATTTTAGGTGTTTCTTTTTGTTTCTGTAATTCCCAATGCTCTGCTTTGCCAGCTATCTTTGTAGGGTAAACTCCTATGGTAGGATTTCTGTGGGACTCAGTGGTGCTGTCTCTTTGATCTCCCATCTGGATGTTCTAGGGTTGCTCTTTCTTCCATTTGTGTGGGATCTCTTGTTGTACTTGAGGCTTTACTTGTTGGTGGCTTCTCCCCTCAAGCAGGTTTACTGACATTCACAACTCCCACCTTGTATGTGTTAAGGGGCAGTGCAAAGGCAAAATGGAGTAAGACAATGGGAAAGTATTCTATGGAATTTAAACTACTAACAAATTGACAACAGATTGGATATCCTGTGGAGAAGTATGGCAATAACTGTGATATTTCACCAACTAGCCACTTTTTATAAAAGGTGAAAAAGGTAAGACTCTTATCAGAAGGGAAAAAGAATGTGAGCCGACTTTAGAAAGCAGAGCACTGATGTGAGGTTAGATGGTGAGATTCAGTGAGAGTAAGGGGTAGAAACTTGGCATAGTGTGTGAGAGAATAAAGTTATCAAAAACAGTAATAAAGTTCAGGAAGATGGTGAAATGGATGAAGGCCAGGGAAGGGTGCTCTTGTTAAAATAACAACAATATGATAACGTATATATAATCTGAATAAAAAGAATAAATAGCAAAAGACCAAGAGTAGTGTGTTACTTGAATATGAGTGAAATGAAAGAAGAAAAGTTAAAATGCAATATGAAAGGGAAAATAAAGAAAACCAATCAAACAATGGAGTCAAAGAAACAGAAGAAAAAGAACTAAATGAATGGAAAGAAGAAAAATAAAAAAACAGAAAACAAAATAAAAATAACAAAAAAACAATAAAATGCAACTTCTTAAGGACAGTAAAGTGAAATTTGTCTCAGCTGTTGGTGTTAGCCTTTTGACTTCTTCTGGATCTGTCTTTGGTCTTCTCACAGCTCCAGGTCTTATCATCTTACACTAATTAAAAAAGAAAGAAAAAAAAGCTTCCTGCTGTCTTTAAACCTGTCATCCACTCTCTTACTGATACCACCTCTAGGTATTCTGTGTTCTGAGAAAACTAGTCTTTTCTTCTGTTAACACTTATTCTATTTTCTGAGGTATCAGTGATAGAATAGTTTTGTTTCTGGGTACTCCATTCATCTTTGGCTATAGCAGGAGATATCTCTGGATGTTGGTGTTGGAATTATGAAATTTTTATTTTTCAGTTAAATTTTTTTTTTATTTTGTGCATACATGTTTTGATAAAAAATTACTCTGGAAAAATAAAACTAGAAAAAAATAAAAAAATCTTTTGCCAATATGCTCCATGAACAGCACAATAAAATATCAGTATTTTGGAATCTACAATATATATAATATATTGTATTACAATTATGTAATATGATACAATTATATACAATTATATAATACAATTATAGAATATAGAATATAGAATATATAGAAAAGTTTTAATATGAAGATAGTAGTTAAAAATTATGCACCTTTGTTTCCAAAAGGAGAAATTTCTAATGTCTATTTTTAAAGATTTTATTTATTTTTTAGAGAGAGGGGAAGGAAGGGAGAAAGAGGGAATGAAAAATCAATGTGAGCAAGAAATATCAATCAGTTGCCTCTCATATGAGCCCTGGCTGAGGACCAAACCCATAACCTAGGCATGTGCCTGACAGGGAATTGAACTAGTGACCTTTTGCTTTTCAGGACAATGCCCAGCCAACTGATCCACACTGTTCAGGGTGATTTCTAATAGATTAAGAAAACAGAATGGCAACATGATTTAACGCTGTTCAACATAAACACCAGTTTTATTCCAAATAATCACATAATTTTTAAGAACTTTTCTAAAGCAGTTACAAAAAATAACCCCAGTGTTATTAATTCTGGAAATTCTATTTTGCACATTAGTACTGCCTTAGTTGAACTATAACATTCCATAAATTTCAGAGCTTCTATAGATTTTATTTTTAAAGTTAAAAAAATTTTTACTTTATTTTTCATGATAAATGATGCTACTGAAAACTTCACTTGGTACACTTTTAGTTTGATGATTTTTGCAATCTTACAAATAAGCAACACATATGTAATATATATGAAATAATAATAAAGCCTGTCTAATGGCTTCCATTGGAGGCCAGGGAATTGTATTTCGTTAAACCCAAATTAAACAGAGTTGAATTTAAATTAATACAGAGAAAGGCATGCTCTGGATGTGTGGTTCTTTGTATTTCCTGAAGCATCAGATGAATTGTAAAAAGTTCAAAGAACTTTTTATTACTCCTGTAAGAGAATGAATATATTAATTTAATTACACCCACTTACAGAATTCATCTGTAATGACATTGAGAGATAATGTATAAATGTGAAAAAATGGCGTGTTTTAAATATAGTGAAGAAAATACAGAATTAAAGAATTACCATGCCAAGACAAACAAAATGGGTTTATGAGATTAAGTGAAAATGCATTCAAAGAAAAAATAAATGCACCCTATTCACTATCACTACACTTGAGAATTACTTTTTTCTAACCACTCAAAAGAGTCAAATACTTGATTATCTTATGTTAAGTAAGATGGGCTTTTTAAAGTAGTAGAATACTGGTTTACCTTTTGCCTTTCCTCCAAAATACCTTTTCAACCATTCTCTTTCTACTAATGAGTCAGTAACTTTGTTATCAATTAGTTAAAATTATATCTGATTATATATTTAATATTTCCTATCTACATATACTTATACCTTGTGAGAAGTTATTGAATATAATAACCATCCACTTGATACAAAGTAATTTCATCTTTGTGGTTTTAAATAGTTACTTCAAGCAAAATTGCTTGAGCATCAACTATTCTCAACTCTCTCATTGAAGTTCTATTCTGATTAACTTCAAGTCTGAAATAAACAAAAACTATAAAAGATATCACAGATAGTAAAACGCTTTGGCAGAAGTATATACTTGTACTTTGTAACTACTACTTGGAAAAAAAACATGATTTAATAGCTAAGAAAGAATTAAACCTAAGTAATGTAATTGTAGCTTTCTGACACTACAGTTAAACTATAGCAGGTCTTACTGAGAATGTACTGATTATAAATCAATGCACTCATATTACACTCAGTCTTCAAGAAAAGAAAGACAATGATTTGGAAAGTGTAATTGATACCAGATGAAAACCAGTAATTTGATGAATTGAGTATGAGGTTATAATTTGATAACTAATAATTTACTGAGGTGTGGTGTGGTGTGCTAGGCACCAAATAGAACATATGGGCCCATTATCATACATCTGCAAATAATTTTAAGATGCATTACATTTACTACTCAAGCACAGTAAGGTCTGGTAAAATACCTAAGTTCACTACGATGGAAATCATGGATGATGAGAAAGGGAGGGTGTAGAACAGCTGAACCAAAACCACAATTTTACTGTTACTAATAAAGTGTTCTAATTTGCCTCAAAAGAAACATTGGATTATACAAAGATTCTAACAAAATATAGCTTAGTACTTTATTTATAATTTTAAAAACGATTATACCACTGTTGGCATAAGAGAAAAGAAGAGGAAATATAAAAAGCTCACAATTCTTACAATGAAATACAAATTAGTGGCAGTAGTGAGTCCATAATAATTTCCTAACATGAACTAATTTTTAAATCTCTACTAACATATTTTAAATCTTTTCTGCCTGCTTCTTTCTCATTCCCTAAGCATAGTACATCAATAAGAACCTGAAAAATATACTTTTATTATCTTTTTTTATTTTCACCCGCAGTAGTACAAAATACCAACGTGCAATAATTTGTTCTGACACTATCACTTGGTTCCTAAAAATTGCTCGTTTTACATATTCTGTTTGTGGCATTTAAAGTTCATTTAGTAAAAAGACTAAGATATTCTAAGACCAAAATTCTAATTCTATTGTTTCAATAAGTATATGGTGTTAGATAAATATTAATATTTATGAATCTTAATTTTCTATATGTTTATTGAAAATTTTGATTTAATAATCAAAGTTAGACTAGTATAGAATGCAGAAAGGTCTAAATGATCACAATAAGATATCTGTGAATAAAAAATGTTAGAAATTAAAAATTCTTACTTGATTTTTGAAAGTTTCTGTAGAATAATACTGAGCTTTTCTAGTATTTGGAGATCAAGCTTAGGGGTCCGAAGCAGCACAGAGCAAGTACGAAAAAATAAATTGTTGCTACAGGCTTCCAAGAAGGGCTGCAAGGATTCTGCAAAACAAATTATTGGTGCTTTACTGTTAGAGAGTAGCCTAAAAAAGACATTAAGAAACAAAATAAAACCAGAATTGTACAGGATATTTATAAATATTGATTTAATTTTCACTCTTTTCATGCATAAACTTGGGGCAAAAGTATCATCATTTGAAGAATTAAAATATCTACCAACTCCTGTTGAACACTGCCAGCCAAAGACAATATTATTTTCCATAATATCAAACTTTTATTAAAACAGAATTGGGAAGAAATACTGTGCTTGACCAATAGGGGCAAAGTCATATCTTAAATAAGTTCATGACAGTAAGAGGAATTTAAATAATTAGCAATAAAAATTGTTGTTGGGGGCATGGAGAAGATGGTAGCAATGTGGGTGGGAGCTGAGCCTACTTGCTCATGCACCCAAACTAGGACACTTAGTCAATCTTCTGAAAAACAAAGTGAACAGCCAACAGAATCTTACCTGATAGAAGTTTGGAAGCCAAAGTGTGCAGTGGATGCTTCAAAACAGGATGTAAGGGGGCAGGGGATCGGGACAAGGAGAAGGTCCCTGGGCCTGGCACAGAGACTGCAACTGCCACAGGGGCACTGGAGGAGAGCTGGGTCAGGGATAGCAGCCTAGGGGCTCCCTCCCCTCTCAGGGTGGGGAAGTCCCAGACCCACACCAGGGGAGACCTGAACAAATAAAGTTGCTGGGGGTGAAAAGGCAACAAGCACATAGGCCAGCGAGGTACCCAGGCTAGGGAGACCATCACTGGCTGGGGCAGTGCCAGAGAATTTGGGAGATCCTGATGGCACCTGGAGCTGGGAAAGAAGGTGGGCTGCAACTGGCCATGACTCAGATAAACTCTAGACTTGCCAAAGAGTTGGAGTGTGTGAAAAGCCAGGCAGTGGCCCCCAAAAAGACTTTTTTCAAAAGGGGAACTGAGGTCCCATGTAGGGACCTCTCCCGCACAGCGGTCCAGCCAACAAAGAGGGAGGAGTGTGGGCACAATTTGCTCCCACACAGTGCACCTCACAGATTGATCAAAAGAGTTCAAAATGAGGTAGCTTATCAGTGCCAGCCTGGCACAACTGCTCAGGATGGAGAGAGCAGACTGCACAGTGCTCTGAGCGTGTGGGATGGAAACTGGGCACCTGTGATTATTGTAGCCCAGACAGAGCCCCTATCCTTGTAAACCACAGGAAGGGAAAAACAGAACCCAGCCACCAATTGCCTGCAGGAGCCGGGAAGATCTGCAAAACCAACTGGGAAGGCTTAACAATCAGCAGGAGGCTTTTTTTTTTCTTTCTTTTTTTCAAGAGTAAGACAAAAAGTCCTGCAGCTAAAAGAAAACCAGACACAGAGACAAATCCAGAAAGAAGCCAGAAGCTGAGAAACCAGCAGCTGAGACAAATTTCACTCTGTTCTTCATCAGAACTTGCATGATTTTTTTAAAAAAAATTCTTTCTTCTTCCGTTTATTTAGCTGTTTTTGTTGTTCTATTTTGGTTTCTTGCTTATATGTGTTCTTTCGTATGTCAGCTCACATTCTTTTTCCCTTCTAATAAGAATCTTCTTTCTTTTCCACTTTTTATAAACTGTGGCTAGCTGGGTAAAATAACACGGTGTTTGCTCTTTTCCAAAAGAACTCCTATTTGCTCACTGTTTGTACTTCAAATCCCATAGAATACCTTCCTGCCGTCTTACTTCATTTCTTCTTCCCCCTGCCCCTGATAAATTGAGTAAGGAATTTTAGTTCAATGTTGCCTCTCTCTGTTTTCCTCTCTCTCAACCTGGGCTTTACTCCTTACTTTTTTTTTTTTAAGATTTTATTTACTTATTTTTAGACAGGGGGAAAGGACAGGAAAAAGAGAGGGAGAGAAACATCAATGTGTGGTTGCCTCTCTTACACCCCCTATTGGGGACCTGGACTGCAACCCAGGCATGTGCCCTGACTGGGAATCGAACAAGCAACCTTTGGTTTGCAGGTCAGCACTCAATCCACTGAGCCACACCAGCCAGGGCTTCTCCTTACCCTTATTAGTTAACTTCCCCCACCCTCTCAAAAATCATTTTTCTTTACTGTAGGCATATCATATTCACTTTTTGCTTTTGTGCAATATTCTCATTCCTGTTCCACCTTTATTAATCCTCATTCAGCTGTCGTTACTATAGACCTCACTGTAGCTTTTCTGCAATTTTGTTACCGTTGGTCCAGTACCTTTTCAATTTTACTTCAGACCTCATAGTATACTCATCCCTTTTTGTGCTCCATAATTCCCATCACTCTTTTGTGTTTCACTTACATTTTAAACTTTATTCTTTCCCTTTCTTTACCTTGGTTCTATCCCAGCTCCTACCAATTCTCCTCCCTCTTACCACTCAACAACATTTCCCCCTCTTTTAGTCAGCTTATATTCCTTTTGTCATATCTTATAATATCTGCAATCTCTCTTCACCTTTATAAACCTTGGTTCAATTGCTGATGTGGTAGGGGGATTCTTTGCTGGTGTATGGTTGTCTGGTAATACTGCTTTGTTAACCAACACCTGTGCAACACCATACAAGACAAGGTGGGAGTTATGATTAACAGTAAATACAGTGGAGGGGAGAACCCTGCAACAAAGAAGCTACCAACAGGTACAGCCCAAGTATAAGAGAGCCCACACAAACAAAAGAAAGGGCAACCGTAGAGCATCCAGACAAAGAGATCAAAGAGACCACACCAGAGTCCCACAGAACCCCTACCACAGAAGATCACTCCATGAAGGAAGCTGGCAAAGCAGAGTTCCCAGAAACCCAGAAACAAAGAAAATTATTCACTTAAAATGGGGAGACATAGAAAGAACCCCCAACTGAAAAGAATGTAAGAATCTCCAGGAAAAGAGGTAAATGAAATGGAGGCAAGCAGTCTATCAGACACAGAATTAAAAAAAATGGGTATAAGTATGCTCAAGGAACTCAGCAACAACTACCAGGAACTGAGTGGGAACTACAACAGCATGAAAAAGGAAATAGAAACAAGAACCAGGAAGAAATGGAGAATACAATTTCTAAAATATAAAATACACTAGAAGGAATCACAAGTAGGCTGGATGAAGCAGTGGATCAAATTAGTGAACTGGTAGACAAGGCAGGAAGAAATGCCCAAGTAGAGCAGCAGCACAAAGAGGACTCAAAAAATATGAGGATGGCTTAAGAGAACTTCAGGACAACATGAAGCACAACAACATTCAAATCATAGAAATACCAGAAGAAGAAAAGGAGAACGGAATAGAATGCTTGTTTGAAAATATAATGACAGAAAACTTCCCAAACCTGTAGAGGGGAAAAGGCACAAATGTTCAGGAAGCACAGAGAGTCCCAAACAAAATAAACCCAAAGAGGCCCCCTCCAAGACACATCAGAATTAAAACACCAAATTTCAAAACAAAGAGAGAATCTTAAAGGCAACAAGGGAGAAATAGCAAGTGACATATAAGGAGATCTGATTAAGCTAGCAGCTGATTTCTCAACAGAAACACAACAACCCAGAAAAAAAATGGCAATAAATACTCCAAGTAATGAAAAGCAAATGCGTGCAACAAAGACTACTCTACCCAGCAAGGTTCCCATAAAATGGAAGTGAAATAAGGAGTTTCCCACACAAAAGTACACTAAAAGATTACAACTCCAGCAAACCAGCACTGCAAGAGATGCTACAGGGACTGCTTTAAAAAGAGGAAAAAAAGAAGAGGGGAACACAGGTACAATGTGGAAATACAAGTAACTATCTATAAAAAATAAGCTTAAGTGTAAATTGATTAAATGCTTCAATTAAAAGACACTGGTGCCCTGGCTGGCATAGCTCAGTGGATTGAGCGTGGGCTGCGAACCAAAGCATCGCAGGTTTGATACCCAGTCAGGGCACATGCCTGGGTTGCAGGCCATGGCCCCCAGCAACCGCACATTGATGTTTCTCTCTCTCTCTCTCTTTCTCCCTCCCTTCCCTCTCTAAAAATAAATAAATAAAATCTTTAAAACTAGTTGTATATAGCCAACATCTTAAAAAAAAAAGACACTGGCTATCTGAATGGATAGATATCATGACCCTCACATATGCTGCCTGCAAGAGACCCACCTCAGAAAAAAAGACCTACACAGACTGAAAGTGAAGGGTTGGAGAAAATATTTCAAGCTAATGGACAGGAAAAAAAGCTAGGGTATCAATACTTGTATCACACAAAATAGACTTCAAAACAAAGGCCATGAAAAGAGACACAGAAGGAGTCTTCATAATATTAAAGGGAAGAATCCATCAAGAAGACAAATATTGTAAACACATATGCCCCCAACATAGAATCACCCAAATATATAAGGAAAATCTTGAAGGACTTCAAGAAAGATACAGACAGAAGCATACTTATAGTAGGGGATTTTAACACTCCACTGTCACCAATGGGTAGATCTTACAAACAAAAAATCAACAAGGACATGACAGCATTGAATGAAGCCCTAGATCAAATGAACTTAATTTATACATACAAAACCTTTCATCTCTAAGAAGAAAAATACTTTCTTTTGAAATGCACATGGAAACTCTTCTATTAAAATGTACATGGAACATTTTCAAGATAGTCCATATGATAGGACACAAAACAAGCCTCAAAAAATTCAAGAAAACTGAAGTATATCAAGCATTTTCTCATATTTACAAGGGCTTGAAACTAGAAACCAAGCTCATTGGAAAAACTCAAAAACATTCAAATTCATGGAGACTGAAGAGCATGTTAAACAATGGATGGGTGAACAATTAAATCAAGTAAGAAATAAAAAAGTTTCTGGAAACAAAAGAAAATGAACACACAACAGTACAAAACTTACAGGACCCAGCAAAGGCAGTCCTGAGATGGAAGTTCACAGCAATACAGGCCTACCTAAAAAGTTACAAACATTTCAGAAAAACAACCTTACCCTACATCTATAAGAACTGAAAGAACCACCACCAAAAAAAGCCCTGAGCGAGTACAAGA